CATACGTACATGCACGCTTCACTGCTTCATTTCTGGAGACAGTTAAACTGTCTTATCCTAAGACTTCAAACTTTTTGCTGAGGCACAATACCTGCCATTTCATCTTTTCAGAACACGAGATTTATACTCACAAGCACCCTCTCAGCAGCCAGTAGATTAGAGTGTCACACATTAGCACGTACAGTTTAAACTCAGCATAGACACAAATAATTGAGAGGTTACTATTAGTTTTTGTAGAAGAAATATAAGCTATGGGCGCCATTAAATATTTTATAGGCTTAGTAATTTATGTTCTATGGGTCCACAATCCTGATTCATGTATGAGTGTTACTTTACCTTGAACACCTTTTTCTTGAGTATATATATTTACACACTGCACCAATGTTGTATAATATTCAGGCACTGTTTTGCTGCTTGGTGCATACCAGAAGTTGTACTTACAGCTCAAACTGAGCTTCTGCAAAGTTCACGACTGTACTGGATGATAGCTCTGCGTTCAGGTGTGAAAATTCCACGTATTCAGGACAGTAGCTGATTTTAGTTGCAATTCCGTTTAGTTCGCACCATACGGTTACCACAGCAAAGGCTGGACTTTAGTTTACCTTATTACGTACGCTCAAAAGAACTGTTTACGAATTCCAATTAACTGCACAAACAGATTTGCCTGCAAAACCACCAAAACTGGTGACTGTGTACAAATGAAGGCAATGCACCAAGAACACGAGGTTGAGTTTCTACAGCTGAAATAGTACTTTTACTTACTCTATTTAACTAGGAAAAAAAAATAAAAAAGAAACCTAAGATGTGGTTTTACACAGTAACACTTCAGAATAAAGCTCTACTTTAAGAATACTTCTTGCAGGGCACTGGAAGACATCCCTGCCAACAAATGTTAGCTTTTCACTACTGCTCAAGCAAGTTAAGGATGCATTAAGAATGCTGAAAGCATTCCATTTTTTTCCATTACAAATGTATTTTTGTATGTGTTTAGTATATTTCAATTCATACTAGCTATCACTAGTGAGATTAAAGAATAAGTAATTTTAAAATGTGTATTTTAATACTGAATATTCATGACTGTATTTATCACTCTCAACTATTAATTACCAAATATATTTGCTGGATGTAAGCCTTTTGTATTTCAATAAAATATAATAAAACTATTTACTTGAAAATTTCACAGGGAATTTAATTAGTATTTAATCTCACACTAAGGCACGTCACATTATTTTAAAATTGATGTAAAGCTCAGTTGGACATGAAAGCCGTAAGGAAAGTGAAACAAAATTGTCTCTCTTGGATACCAAAGTCTGAATTACTTCAATCTTCTTAAGTTAAAGTTTGATAACACTTTTTTTTTTAAAGCAAAAACAAACAAACAAAAGCCAAAACCAAAAGCAACACCACCCCCCACCCTGAACATAGAGCTTTTCCTGCAGCATACAAACTTGAAGCATCATAAGTGATTTCATTATTCACTGACGAAACAGATGCAAACATTACACCGCATAGCAAACGATCAGCATGCTGGAAGCGATAGCAATACAGGTTAAAAAATAGTAATAAAAGTAAAAAGATACTTATTTCAACAATTACTGAGAAATGAAGTATGAGACTTAAAAATAACAAAATCAGAATTTCTTAATATCAGAATGTTATTTTAGAGGAATCCTTACCTTAGAAAGTAAAGACAAAACCTTTACTAGGGTAGCTTTAAGCACCATAAATATCCAGTAGAAAAGCATTAGGCGGTTCTAGCACAGAAATCCTTTTATCCTTCTCATAACTTAATTTACCCTTACTTAGTACACTTTACATCTTTAACGACAAAATGGTACGAGAGATACAACCGAGATTTCATCATGGAATGTATTTTTTTTTTTTTTTTTAAATTTTCAGTACAGTATTAGGAGGTCATTTAAATACTTTAAATAAAAATTTTGGAGAAAACCCCAAAGGATTCAACTAGGTAAGGAAAAAACAATCTCATCAGTGGATTAAAGACAAGTATTTAATGACCCTGTGATCCTTGAAGTAGCATTCTCTAGACAATTCATATTCCTGGGTCACCTAGTCAGGAATGTAGCCCGGCATGGTGATTCTCTTCCTCTCCTTTGTTTTCTGGAGTGTTTCATGCAGAAGATCTCAACTATAATGGACAACGTCACTGAGAGGCAGGAAGATTTTTTTTATTTTTTTTTTTTTTAAATCAAACACACAGAACCAAGCCAACATCTTTACCTCATCATTTTGCTTTAAAAAACAAATTACGCTTTTCTCCATAATCGTAGATCAGAAGGGCATTAGGTAATACTACAATCCTACAGGTCAACCCCCTCCCCCCTGTTTTTATTTCCTCTCCAAATCAGCCAACAGTATAATTATCTGACACAGTAGATGGGACAACGGAAACAATTGGTAAGCAGTTGAATATTGCCTGACATTAAAAAAAACCAAAACCTGAAATGAATTGTAAGCTAGTTTTGTTGCACAAAAAGATCAAAAAAACTAAAAGCAGAAGTAGAAAAAGAAAAGAAAAAAGCATGCTACTGTGCAAACTAGAATACCCTGATTTTTGGAATGCATCTTCTGCTTGCCTCAGGCATACTGCTGGAGCAATGCAGAGAGGTGGGAACATCTCGTTTAAGAACATCCAGCCACCAGTTCCTCTTCCACTGTTTCAAAGTCAGTTTTATTTTCATGATAGCTCGTACTTGCTAGTCATTTAGTTAACAAAAATTCCCATACACCCCATTCTGAAAAATAAATTTTCTTTCTGATGCCAGTCAAGGAAATCCTGGCATAATCAAAGGAACAGATTGGAAAAGCTCAGTTAACAATTTTATTTAAGTTCCCCAAAAGTGTGTTTACACATATATATACTAAAATATTTAAGCATATATAGGTGTATATACATACACACACACTTCAGTATTGAGGTTCTTTGCTTACCATGTTCAGTCTCATAAGATCCATTTTATATATATATATATATATACACACACACACATGAACTGAGACTGAATGAGTTAAGTCAAGAAGTTAAACCTAGACAGTAATAAATACAGGGTAGGACACTCAGCCCTATCAGTTCAGTGATTTTTCTTCATTGTATTGCATGAATGATCAGAGCTTCTTGCAGTGCTAAGTTTCTGGGGCCTGGAAGTCCTGAAACTTTGGTTCCAATTCAGTAACACGTTAAGCCAGTAACCTAAATTTTATAAGCAGCACCTTTCAACTCATGCAACACTGTACAGGTTTGTACACAACTTGCTAGCCGGCAGTCTGATGCACTTTCATTTTCCAGCCATATACTGCTTCAGTGAAGAATTTGTTTGGGTAAAATGAAAACATTTTCTCCTTTGCAATCACAGGACCAAAAAGTTAGCATGGGTACGCAGTGGAGGCTGAGATTCCCTAATGCAGCAGATTCATACAGTTAATGTATTACTCAAATACCTCCACACAGTAAGGAGATACAGTATTTATTACCATAAGGAGTGCATTTATAACAGACTGCGGCATGCAAGCACAATCTAAGGTCAGCACGGATGTGTGCACTGTGAGCTTTCTCTGTGCTATAGAACTGCACCTCTTGAAAGTTATTAATTCAGTATAGTTATGCATTTAAAAATTAAGTTTACAAGAGTTTTCAAACTAAGTGAACAGCGAGGAAATTATTTTATAGTGTAAGCAAACTTTGTTAATTCCTAGAGCATGACTTCATTTTTAAAACAGCTTGAATAAGTAACTGGACATCAAGCTACTTGTATTTCAAATTCCTGTTGGAGTGATAATAAATAATGAAGTTTAATTTGTTTAAATAATGGCCAGCATGGTGAAACAATGTTCACATAAGAGAACAAGATGCATCTTAAAACTGTATGACATTAGTAATTCCCACCCACAAAAACTCCCCAAACTGCTTAATAAGGGAACTGTTACAAGCTATGCAACGTGACAGAGGAGAGTAAGAAAAAGCCCAGTGTCCGAATCACTATGATATTCCAGTATATTAAAAGTTGTGGCTATTTCATCAGCACATAGCATGAAGATGATGCATGATGCTATTGGACCAAATTTTTATAGACTCTAACAAAAAGTACAGACCTTGTGCATCTCGTTACAATTACATTAAACAGGATGCCTGAGGCTTGGGCCTCAATACTAAGTTAAGTCATACTGCCACCAAAGAGCTGAACATATTTCCCTTATGCTATCCTTAATCTTATACACCTCCAGATATAAGTCCTGGACACTTTTGCATAATATATTGAAATTACACTACCTGGATAAGCAAACTGTCCAAGAATTCCTAATGGAAATTTGGTCAGAGAAGTAAAAGTCTAAAGGAAATTTGTACTTAAAGGAAAAAAAAAAAAAAGAAACTGAGAGAGAAGTGGTATAAGCCCTAATGAGCAGTACATTCTTCGAGTACCTCCAATATTACACACCATCGGCATATATGAATGCTCTTCTCAGAATGTACAGAAAACCATTTCTCTTAAACCAAGACAGAGAATGCATTAAATAGGAATTTATGGGTCTCAAGTTTAGGAGGATTTCCCATCAGTTTCTGAAAAAGTCAGTAAATACAGACACTAACCAGTTTTCAAATCAGGACATAAAATGTCTCAGATTATATAAAAGTATACTCCAACTTCTCCGGTATAGAAGTCAAAGCTAAGGCCTCACAATTCCAGTTATTAGAAACAGCATATCCTCTTTACTAAGCCACCACTTGAAGCCAACTATTCAGTGTTTTAAAGAGGGGGATGTTATAAAAAGGTGGTTGCAATGCAGTTCTTTGCAATACATACCCAAGTATAGACAGATTGCTTAAAAGCAAGTTAAGAGTTATAACAGAAACTGTTAAAGAAAATGCAACGTATAAACAAAATGCAACAAACTACACTGACTGAAATTTCTCCAAGGTCCTCATACCTAGTAATGTTCACTACACAAATGAAACATCATAAAATACAAATTAACAAACCACGTGATTAATAAAATCTGTTCACTTTATATTAAACATCTCTAATATGATTATAGAATGTTTACATCCTCTGTTGCACAGAGGAACTCTTCCCTTTGTGTCACGGGCAAGGGTTCTCATCTCGAACACTACTGTGCAAAACGACCATTTATTTCAATAGGTTCTGCAGCATAGCTGTAGCATACGTAGGACGAGCTTGTCTGCTTTCAATTGCGTTCTGAAGATACTGGATACCTCCGCAGCGCTCCCAAATTTCTTCAAACTGCCTCGGCAAAATCTCAGCACCTCGCTTTCGAGTTAAGCCAGTCTCTTCAAGATTAAGCTCACACATATCCATATCGTCCTTACCTGGAATGGTAAAAGGAACAACAAAAAAAACCCCTTATACATCCTTCAAAAGTCCCATTAACAAAAATTAGATCTCTGTTAATTAGATTTCCTCTCTCAAGCTCTGTCTGGTACGCAGATTTTTGTTGTTGTTTTTTGTTTGGGTTTTTTCTTTGGTTTTGGGGGGTTTTTTTGTTTGGGTTTGTTTTTTTTGTGGTGGGTTTTTTTGTTGTTGTTTTTTTTTTGGTTTGGTTTTTTTTTTTTTTTTTTTTTTTACACACAAAGTAGAAAAGCAGTATCAGAATAAACTAGTATCAGCTGCTGCAACTAACAAAATTGTGCTTAAAAAGCAAGCAAAAAGGAACAAAGGAAAGAAGCCCAAAAGATGAGCTTCTTGATATATTCTCCTGAAATCCACTACCGGATGACTACTGCATTTATTTTACACATACTTTCAGTTTGACACAGTATCACAGTGAACTGCTGTTATTATTTAATTTGTTCAAATGTAGCAAAGTGACCAAGAACTCAAGACTTTTGATCAAGTAGTCAGTATTGTTAATCTGTCAGCCTCCCATGCTAAACAATGTTTACCAAATGGGACTGACGCAGGGAATCCAGTGAAATGATGAACGTAGCTCACTCGCTATATTTTAATCTTATTTTTAATAGGTGATCCACTGAATGTGGTATTTATGACAGCAATGCTACGTAATTTAGCTATGGGCTTTGACATTGGACAGGCAACAGATGGTATAAGGAATTCTATTAAGAATAATTAGCAGAAAACCAAGGAAGTTTGGTCACTAGTAAAGCATGACTCTGAAGCCAATCGAATTGGTTATGGCCTTTTCCTCAGTCCCTGAAGTTAAACACAAAAACTCAGAACACAGAACTGTAAACAGCATTTCTCCAGTGTACTCTCCCCCATTCATTATCCTCCAGAAAAGAAGGATAAATCTCTATCTATCCATTGCCACATTTAGTTTTTATTTTAAATGTTTAAGATTAAAAAGTTATTTTCCCATACTAGGCAGCACAAATATGGTAAAAGCATCGGTTTGCTATTAGCACCATACTATGAAAAGGCAATATATCATATGCACAGATTGTTTTGATACAAACTGCTGTATTTTTTCACAGCTAACTAAAAAGCAATACAATGATAAGTAGAACTTTCCCAGATAAATCGTTACGTTTCATCTTCACACTGTCTCCAGGTCAGTGAATAATCTGAGGACACTTAATAATAAAGCCATTTACATTTGGATTCCCACTCTGTCTATGACTTCCCAGACTAAAGTACATGTACAAGGAAAACATGTGACCAGTTACATTTGGACACCATCAACAGCAGTCCCAAATCTTCAAATTCTGCCCAGACAAGAACTGCTGATGAAAAAAGAAAAGAGGATACAACTCGGGAAACTCGTATGTTATCAACTCTGAACCTTTTCAGCGTTTCAATTTTGCTTTCAGTACCAACCTGCTACAAGGAGAATGGGTGCCTTGTCAGGATGAAGTTCCATTTGTCGAGCAATCCATGGCCCATCAAAATGCGCATACCACCAACCCTTCTTCTTGTTCTGGGGATCTTTGTATTGGTCTGCGGGACGGATGAAGGGAATGCGGAAGTAACGCTGTTGTCTGTTTATTTCAATCTCTTGTTGTCTGGTTGGTAGCTGGGTTGTCGGGTTCTGTTGAGCTATCATACAAAAAAAAACCCAAGCAAACAAAAAAATAGAAAACAAGAAAGCCATATTATGACTTGCTTGATTAATCAGCAAAGAAATAAACCAAACCAACTAACCAAACCAAACCCCCAAAAACTGAGAGATTCTCTCTGAATACAAGGTCATCTGAAGTCTCATGAAACCTAAAAAGTATTCCCATCTAATACAGTGTGCATTCTTTTAATCACTACAGCTACAGCACTGCTGAGGAAAGGCTCATGGTGACTGTTGTATCTATATGTAACACTAGCTTGCTCAATGACATCAGGTATGTTTAGACAAAACAAAGTGAGTAAAATAACACATTCTGCTTTAAATTGGTATTTAAGGTAAAACTTCCCATATAAAATTTCTTATCAACCAGAAACATTAACCACTAACTGCTCTAGTTCAGTCCATCTCTTTGTAAAACAAGGTCACAGTTGAAAGAAACATTTTCAGTTACAAAAATAAAAAGCATCACTTGATGGTTTGATGTTTGACGGTCAACACAGAAGGGTAATACTGTTAGAATTGACAAATTTGTTAATAGAAATGTTGACAACAAATACTGCTTATTACAAAGCTGCCACCAAACATAACTTTCTGCTTAGATTTCTGTGTACTAAACTCCAGCATTAGAACTACTCTCTGGCTGCTTTTTTTTTTTTTTTAAAGAAATTTATTTCAGACCACTGAGATTAACAGACCAAACTTCTAGAGGAGACAGAGTTATACGAAATCTTTTAAAACTTCATACATATTTTTGGGAAACACTTCCCAGGTGCATTTTTGGATTCCCTCAGAGTCCCACACATTTCAGACTTTGGAGAGAAACTTTTTCTTGAATAAAAGCAAATACTCTCTATCTCAGCTCATCAACTGATGGACCTTCTTTATGTTATCTATACACTACCATAATCAGCTTTAAATAATAAATGCTCTTACAAGCAAGATCCATTCCTTTACTAACTGCCTCTTGCAAAAGTTTATTACTGATCTTGTTTTAGTGGTTTACAACCACTGTTACAAGTACTCTGATTAAGAAATTCTGAATGTAAATCTATGCCATCTCCACAAAAGAAAATCAGTATTAACAGTTCCATGTTTCAGCACAAAGAGAATAATTAAAAGTAATTCCTTTCCTGTCTACTGTCTACTAAGCAAAGCTAATTTTTCAGCTAAAATTTAATAAAATGAAAAATTAGAATCATTTCTAATAATGTATTTTTACGGTTGTGAACAGAACTAGTGGACTAGCAGACTAGCAACTGCACCTTGAAATTTCTTCCACTTTGATTCAAGCAAAAATAGTTTTTCTAAATGTGAAGAGCAGAATCTTAAAAAAATATACGTACAATACAATCACACCCCCCCAATATTTTTTCCCATGTCTACATAAAGAGAAACAAAACAGATTTTAATAAATGAATGCTATTTTTATAGATCAATGCTAATAAAGTATGTATTTTACAGGGAGACATAATGTAATTCTATTTTCTGCAAATTGTCTGAACATTTATCACAGCAGATCAGTGCTTTAGTATTGTCAAACACTTTTTGCACTGCCATGGTAATTGCTAAGGCTTATTTCTACCCCTATGCATACCTAAATCCAAGAGGAAATCTAGAGGACAGGAATGCTAAGCAGCCAATATAGCCTCTACTTTTCAGTGCTATGGAATTGTAGTTCTTTATTCAAAAGAAACCATCACCTGAATGTTAGCTTGTGTGCTAGGAAAATAGCTGTTAGATTAAGTTGATTCCAGAGTTTTGCTACAACAAAAAGTCATGTGCAGACAGTAAAAAATTTTAGAACAAGCATGGTATTTCTTGGAAGGGAGAAAAAAAAAATAGGAGATTATACCTTTAAATAACCTACATACAAAGGTCATTTCATTCTCCCTTCCCATGACTGCTCAAATAGGTAGGATCTCATGAAGATAAGCAGTAAAGTACATTTGTAAATTACTGGAGTAACATATAATTATCATCAGTTGAATAACACTGCCAAATTATAAAATAGATTTTTTTTTTTGAGCAATTAAATTCTACGTATACATGTAGCAAAACACTGGAGTATTTCATGTTAGTATAGAGCTCTCAAGTGATCCTATTCTTCAAAGTTAGCTTAAATAACCATCTCCCCACTTACGTGAGTTGCTCAAAAATGGTGCAAAATCTGTGAACAAATATTACATGTTGAACAAAACATAGAAGTGCTGATCCTGTATAAGTTATAGTTGCATTACCTCAACATTTTTCACCAATGCTGATGACAGACAAATGGAAATTCTAGTTACAAAATAAACACATATGTTGAGCTAAGTATTTCTATTCATTTTCTGCTCACTGAGATATATAAAATGTCTTCTTTCCTCATGTTTCATAGATTTCCAACTGCTTCTATTTTCATTGGGATTTAATTTTGAAATTGATTACTTAAATGATTTGTGATGTCTGTTACAAAACCTCAGTTGCATAGATGCTAAGTACAGATTGCTGTAACAAATCTGCTAGTTAATTAACATACTGCTTTTCATTTTTGACATTTCTGCAAGGAAAAAAAAAAATCCAGGTCTCTAATACCAATCTGTATATTCCAATAATAGTACACAAACCAGTGTTTAGCTTCTATACTGAATGTATGAATTTAATTAAAGGATACCTGTAAAATTATATCACATCAGTGACAAGACAGAAAGAAAAAACTACATCATTTGAAGCATACACCCACTGACAGCCAAAAGACTTTTAGCTTAAATGTCTAAGAAATCAGAGTTCCTTCTATCTTCTCAGATTGTTATAATACATAGATGTGAAATCCCTATGTAGTATAATTATTTGCAATAGGAAGAATTACTTTTGACATTAATGAGTCTCTAAAGGTCAGTGACATTCTTCTGAACTGCAATGTTCTAACTTTTCTTCAGAAATATGAAGCCATACTTCAAGAAGAGTAAAATAATGCAATGAAAAACATTGAAATGAATGCTGTGCCTAACTCAATGTGATGAGATCATGAATATTCCAAGCTTTATTTGCACAAATCCAACGATTTTCTGCTCTTTGATACTTCCCATCAGAAATACTGCGCATGAATATTTATTTTACCCATTTAGACAGAATTTGTGAGCTCAAATTCAAAGCAACTTACCACTTTGCAGAAGTGCTTCAAATGCCTTTTCATGCTATTTCAGTCATAAGCTTTCTTAAGCACTTAAAACCACATTACTAGGCATGGCCACAAGGACCCACTCTTCGATAACATCTTTTCCAGTGGTCCAGATTTCACCTGCCATATACCTGTACCAAAGTTCCCTGAAAAGCTCAAATTCTCAGGTAATGCTCAAGCAATGCATAGCTCAGTAAACAAATCAAGGGGAAGGAGACACCACTGAGAGTAAGCAGAGCACCTGTATCCCCTGGGATCTGTATCCCCATGTCCCAGGGCAATGCTCTAATCCCAGAAGACAGACAGTAGGAAAGATCTGACTAAATTATTATATCCATTTGCTGTGATTCTATTAATTTCTTAGACTCCTTTTATAACAGATGACCACTGGAACAGCAGAGTGGGGTGGCAGGGAAAGACTATCCACTTTGCAAATATCACACCAGAAAATGGGCACCTAATTTTCAGGTCTGGCAGTGTTAAACATCGTAACTCCTACACCTTCTTATTGAATTAAAAAGGCAGTCGCTTATTTTCATTAGTACATTCCTTTGACAATAAACACCCATCCGTGAAATCAACAGTCTAATAAGAAAGCAGAGACTATGAAAAATTTGCCATCTCATATCAAAATACATCAACACTCACAGATTTTTTTAAAAAAGAGGATGTAACATGAAATATATAAGGCTTAGAGTAACGTAAATGAGGAAATTATTAGCTCCTTTTAAAAGTATCTACATCTATGTCTACGTATCCCTATCTTACAAAAGAATAAAAGCATGAGAAAAAAATCCCTTTATCATCAATACTTTTTGTTTTGCTGCATCCAAAATGTAATAGTAAGTTGCATAACACAGCATAACAGGAAGATTCCTTCCAATCTCGTTTTTTATAGCATAGAAAAAAAAAAAATCACATGCAGATCTCCAATAGCTGGACTATTTGAGAACTCTTTTTAGAATCTCTATTCTATCATTAGGTGTAATTCTCTGTTCTGAGCTATCACTAACTACTCTTAAAAAGCAACATTTGTAATTACAGAGGTCAGAACTAGTATGAACAACCTTAAAAACAAAGTCTCAAAAGTCTCAAAATGCAAATCATAGTTTCATAAATGGAAAATAATCTTCCTTAGTCTTAAGCAGCACAGCAATGAACATTTAGCAAAAATGCCAGCAACTGCAACACCAAATCAAGAACTATTTTAACAGATGTGACTTGGTATGAGAAAAGGTTTTAGGGAGCACTATGCAGTACATGTATCTGGGTCTCCTGAAAGTATTCTGCTTTCTGAAATGTATTTGCCTGTTACAATCTTTTAAAAATATTTCTGTTAAATCAATATAAAAATTATCTAGAAAACCCCCAAATTTCCTTCAACCTAGCAAACCCAGAATTCAGTCTGGAAATTTTTCTTTAGAATATTCTCACCAAAAATACCATAAACACAAAATTATCTCTCCTCACCATAGTCTGTGACTGATTTGGGAGCACGCTGTTCTGTTTCAGCATTCCGTTTCTTATTCTTGGATTTCCAAGCATGATACACCTTTAGCCTTCTGTGAAACTCTTCTCTGCAAGCTGCCAACAGTTCAATATCTGTCTCAAAAATGACAGAGGAAGGGATGAGTGAGAAAGATCAGAAAAAATATTTATGAAATACTTTTCCATATTGATAGGTAAATAATTTTAGATCACATTGTAACACTAATATGTTATAATATAATAAACCCTCATTCTCTGCAGCAATAGGGCCTGTATGTTATGGCCCAGAAAGTTCCTTGGCGTGCTATGCATCCTTCTCTCCTTTAGAGGAATGGCAGTCCCCAAAGTAGCTGTTCTCCTGTGCGATGTAGAGCAGTGAAATGCTACAAATAAAATTTTCACTTTGCTAAATTTGTCTGTTGACATTATCGCAAGCCAAGCAGTACAGAAATAGATAAAGTTTCACTGCTGAACTTTATTTCTGCAACTGAAAAAAAAAAAAAAATCAGCAATTTGACTGCTGAGATCTAGGTTCTTTTTCCACTTTATTAAATGTATTTCAATTTTGCTGATAAGAAACTGAAAGATTGCAAGGCTTTTTCATAAGTCACCAAAGAGTATCCAAACTGGCTTCACTAGGGATGAACATGCATTAGCACCTTGTATTACTGTACCACCTAGTTAGCTGAAACCATTGCTCCAGTCTTGTGTATGTAAAAACAATAGAGACACAGAATCTGGAGTTAACTTTGGGTTTTAAATGCAAATAGAGACAATGGGTTTGTTTCCAATTTTAACATCCAGGGAGAAATTCTGAGTTATCTTAAATCAGAAATCAACCAGCTGTTTTCAATCAGAAGCAGGAAGAAACCATATTATTGAACAGAGGAATAATTCTTATCTGTTTCTATCTTCATAACATTGAGGGGAAAATAATTAATGTCACAACTGTGAGCTTCCCAAGTGAAGTTACACATTTTGAAAAATAAAGACTAATCTGAACGTCTAAAAAAATATTTTACACTGCTTTACATGACATATTTGCTTTTTTGTGATTTGGTCACAGAAAAAAGTGACATCAAAAAAATTTTTAGAATGTGAAAATTCTACATAAAGCATAATAATATTACTCCCTTTTGGAAATAGACAAAACAGAGACAATTAAGAAATTAGAACATGTATTTTATGGCCCAAGCAGTTTAACATCATAAATATATAAACAGTAAAGGAGGTAACAAAGGAAATTCTGTTTCCTCAATACGGTAATAGCTTCATCTGCTGTTCTCTTTAGGGTAATGGAACTGTTTAAAATTAATTTGACATTTATTCAAACCTAAATAAATTCACGAGCAAGTTTTTATCTTTTTCATAGGAAAAAGTAACATTTTTCATACAACTACAACTTTATTTCTTTCTCAAATCAGAAAAAAAAAAAAACAAACCCAAAATAACCAACCACTTACCACAGGATGTATTGATTGTATCACGAAGCTCTGCATATTTCCACTTACTGAGGTCATGCTTCTTAGAACCAGCAGCAGCTTTTGTGGCTTGAACTGCAGGACCCCTATAATGATTAAAAAAATACATACGTATTTTTTCAAGTATGAAACAGGAATTGTTAAAACAGAAGGAACAGATCCCAAGATCAACGCGGCAGCACACTTATTACAATGAAAATCGGCAGCAGAGGGACTGAATTCAAAGGCAAAGCGCCGTATTATTTTCAAGATGTTCAAATGATCAAGAAAAAGTCAAACCATCTTTTAAGTTTAAAATCATATAACAATCTGATTGGTTGCCTAGAGATTAAAAGGAATTGTCATAAACAGAGTTTATGTGTGAAAAGATGCATATTCTACTCATGTGTACCCCACCCCATGCTGATGTATGTTTTTCTTTGTACTAGGCAAGATGCAGAATACAGACAACAATGAGTGGCCATACTCATTTTTAGGTCCATTAGAAAAACAGACAAGGAAAAATACTTCTGAAGTAGACAAGGAGAAGGGAGAAAAGGCATTTCCTCTGCTGCTTAAAACTGGATTAGGACAAAATCCTTGTTCCAAAACTAGCAAAAATATTCCAATTCCATCTCTGACAAAAATCTAATTTGTGAGAAGAAATCACACTAATTCTGTATTAATTACTAACAGAGGCTGTCTGAGAGCAGCAATATTTATGCTGGGGGTGGGGGGGAGCATTAAGAGATACAAAGGAAAAAAAGACCACCCTCAGAAGAAAGGCTGACCAGTATAAAAGACTCATCTAGAAACAGTGTTTTTCAAAGGCAAAAGACAGTGTATACCTCCCACATGATGAATAAAGTCAAAAGCAAATGCCAGTGAGAAATTATTACTAAAATCTCCATCATCTTTAACAGTATGTATAAGATTATCCATGTAACAAACAAACATTACATGTATACCTATAAAGATAAACGTGAAAATTTTTTTATTTTTTTCTGAAAAATAGTATGGATAAGAAGTAGAAGAACTCTCCCTTAGGAATGGCAAACTTCCCATGGATTATTTTGTTTATATACAAACTTCAAAACACTCCAACATTCAGTGGCAATCAGAATACCTTTTAAACACTAAGGAATTCAGGACCAGACACATGGTTAACCTCTGGTAATGCCCATGACTAAGGACATTTGACAAACTGAATTATTTTTCAGGATCTGAGAGGATTTGTTAAGAAGTAACTGGATCTTTAACGGGGTAGTAAAATACTTGATGCTATATGTCACTTTAAAAATTCCCAAGAGAGAAAACCAGAAGAAACCAGGCCTTTGCAGTTAAAGTCTGTGCAGCAATATCTCTGTGGGACTGTTACATTATTACAGTATTTATAATCCAGTGAATATTACTTTAAAGTTTATTTTTCCATAGAGGTCTCATGTGGGACTGTGAAGTTTTATGTTGTTTATTTTCCCTTTTTACTTAATGGGTTATAAATACATTTTCTGTGAAAAATTTCTCTGTGTAGATATAACAGTTCTGAAAGCAGAGATAACAAATGCAATTTATTTTTAAGTTTCACAGAATACAACAATCTGTTTAACCAAATGTTCTTCTTAATAGCAACTGAACCATCTCTTCAAATGTAATTAAAACTACAGAATCTTACTGTTTATTGCAGCATCAGCTTAATTATGTCTTACTCATACTACTAATCTGAGTCAACACACAGCTTCCTGTTATGGTATGTGAGAAGTCTGACAAAAAAATTACCACTTTGACTTGTAATCAGAACACAGTTGAGGGACAGGAACTTTTCCTCACCCTTAGCACTACTCGTAAGTATAAAACAAATCATTAGACAGTCTCCTTCAAAATACATACTTTAATATTTTGTTATCATCGGCATACCTGTAGGACATTAAAAGATTGCTGCTAAATGTAATTTCCGCTGCCTAGTGTCTAACCTTCTTGAATCTAATTTGACAAATCCTAAGGATTTTCCTTAATTAGCAACCCTACCCACCACCACTCTAAGAGTTTGCTACACAATTTAGAGCAGCAGAAGTAGGCTGTAAGATCTCTGGTTAAACTAGTAATCTTTAAGAATGCTAATCCAATTGAATGGCTTAGCCTTTCCATTACAGTACTACTCTGCAGATCACTCTTTTGTTTTCTGCATGACTTCAAGCATAACAGTCTGGCAGTAAGAAGAGCATCATACTTGACAAGCAGCCTTCACCGCTCAATCTGACAAATTTATGCATCATAAACACTATTTCTAGACTTAAAAAAATCAGTCTCAAGTCAAAAGTTTCCAGTATATGAAAAGTAAAAAAAAAAAAAAAAAAAAAAAAAAATTAAACAAGTATGCAGTAAGAAGTACAGCATTTTTAATTCGACCAAAACACAGAGCCTCTGATTTTGTCCCAAAGTTTTATGATTTTTTTTTTACACATTAAGAATTGGCCACTGTCATTGGAACTATGTCAATATATGCAATACAATCTAGCCATCTAAATTCACATGCTAACTTAATTACACACAACATTGTTTATTCCTATTTTTAAAATGCCACTGTAAGAAACAAAATTAGTTAACAGCTGCGTTCCCAATTATCATCGCTACAACTAGAAAACCCATCAATCAAGGGAGAGCTATCATCCTCAGACTAGATATATACAGCATAGTTGCTTGTTTAACAACAGATTGACACTTAAAAACTCTAAACAATTTTGCTTCTTATGGAAGCTTCAGCAAATTAATGTCAAAAAGTTATTTTTGTCCTGAGGTTGCACAAAACACTTTCTAATTACTCAGTGATATAGAGGACATTATAACAATTTCTTTCAACGGAGAATTAGTATTCTAACACAAACTAGTATGAGACAGTTACAGCAGAACTGTATTCAGATCTAAACCTGCTTTCCTCCTGCACTGTGCAGAAAATCTCGCATTAGCATTCAAGAAATCTCAGAAGGGATTTTGCTTAGATGTCTTAAGAGGGGTTTTAATATGCTTTTAACATGGTAATTTTCAAAATTGCTTTTATTCAAAGGGAATTATAACAGAATATTTTCTTATTAAAAGCACTAACAGTTACATTAACAGTTACATTAAGCTTCATTAATTCTGTGTTGAATCTGTAGAAATCCTCCTTTGAAAGACGTGGAGCCTAGTTTTCTATTACTATTATAAGAAAGGTGAAAAGAGAAGAAAGTAAGAGGAACATTATCAAAATTACACCAAATACCAGGGTATGTGAGCTATTCTTATTCTTTTTGTTATATAGTCAATTAAAATAGCAGAAAAAGAATTGCTGGAAAAAAGGTGTTGATAAAGGAAATCTATCTGAAAGAAATAATTTACTCATATGCTTAGCACTTAAAAAAAAAACCCCAAAAAACCCAAACCCAAAAATCCAAAAAGCCCCCAGACTCCATTATTTTTCATTTCATAATAATTCAACCCATTTCACATGTGATTTCTTTTTATAAAATGATTGATTCATTTGGTGTTGTCTTCTCACCTACCTAGACAATATTTCTGACATTTCTGTGGCCATTTGTTCCCTACAAGAAAATTGATAAATAAGCATAAACCAAACATTTAATATAAAACCAGCCTTTATAACGGCGATAGTCTCTTGCCAACCAAACTGAAGCTAATTCCAGTGCACAAAATAAATGGCTACTTATTTTTTAAAAACTGCATTACACACAGTTCTGATTCTGTAAAGGGCAATAAATCATACAGGGCAGTGAAAAACTGATGGTATGTGAAAAAGTTTCCACTAATTATATAATCATCTGTAAATGGATATTATTAGGTATATTAGATTATTAATTTGTTTATTAGACATAAGCAAAATAGTGGATATAAGGTATTAGAAATTGATTTAAAGTTTACAGATGCACATTAATAAAGATAATTATGGGGTATTAGTAAATAAGAGGACAATATCAATTTCCTTTGAATTAATTAGCATTGCTTTTTTTTTTTCCTATTATTTTCAAATGGAAAAAAAATGCCATACGCAGTCATTTGCAGCTTTGTTCCATTGGCTCTGCAAATAGAAGATATTTATGTTAGATAGGCTACTTCCCTGTTACCTTTCTAACAACTGAAGGGGGAAAAATTGGGTCATAGTACTTCCTGCCCTCTCACATCTTATTTACTATCTTATGATTTTTAAATTTTTTTTAACTGAGAAACAGAATTATACAGACCTTTTTTCTTCACTTCATTCAATCTGAGTGTTAAATTATTTTTAAAAAGTTAAATTAAGATAATCTGGAAAAAATGTACAAGTGAAAACTTCCCCCATCTTTCCCCTGCCCTCCATCTTTCAAAAACAAAGATTCTGAGACATGTTACTGATATATTTTATGCTGGGATAAGCATATCACAAGAAATAACAGCAATCCTCATGTAGCTACTCTGGGAACAGGACAAATAGCTTCTTCACAGAAGCTGTGAAAAGACACTAAGTCTAACTGCCATACTGCAGACCCACATGTACACACATGTAGCATTGAATATGCTACAAATTAGAATTTATTTGGATTGTTCCAATGCAACACACAAAACAGACATACTCACAACATCTTCACTGAGGCTAGCTTATTTGGGTGCTATATGCTATACTGTATCTTTCAATAAGCCACATAAATAATAGCTACCTGGTTTCAGCAGTGCAATATTTTTAGTTTAAGTAATTTTTTACTGAAGTGCTAAGAACTTCTGATAATTTACCCCTAGGTGCAGTAAATCCCTTATTACACATCCTTTCAAATTGTGGATAAGTAATAAAATTGGATGAAGCTAGGAGAGGTCCAGCATATCTAACACAGAATAAGCACAAATAAAAATGCTGGATCTACTGCCAGAACAAACAGGACAGGCTTCTTTGACAGGAGCCAGCAAGTGTATTTCTCAAAGAAACTACTAATACTTATGAACCTCCAAATATCCATGAAAACTAATGGTGAATGCAGAGAGAAGAAATAAAGTACAGGCTACTCATTTTGAAATATGACAACACGTAAGTATCACATGTTCCTTAAAAATGAGCAAAATACAAGACTTCCTTCAAAGTGGCACATTATTATTTAAACAAACCAAACCAAAATAAAATCAAAGGTGAAATTAAAAGAATTTTCTTCCATTTTTGGACATGCTTAAAACTCTTTGAAGTAGGCTGCAGAAACAGAAAGAAAAAAAAAATAAGCTAAAAAGAAATCTTATATAAGCAGAAAAATTTCTGTACTACTTTTTTCTAGATTTATGTCTTATCTTAAGATAATACAAGTAAATCCAAGAAAGGATTTATATCACTATGTTAACTTGTTCAGACCATTCTGTACTTTCCAAACATTTAGAAAAGAGTCTTCATTCTCCTACCGCTAACTACACAGCGGAGAGAAACTGGCAGTCATAACTATCAGGATGGTTACTTCACCATCCGTTCCAGGACTACACTAGGAAGACAAATACCAGGATCACCCACGAGCAGAAGGAAACACTGTGGAGGTAAGAGCTTCACTGACAGAAAAGTTACTGAATTCTCTGATCGTCTAATGCCTCCTTTCTTTCATATTTAAGAGAAGTTTGCCACTTTGGATTTTGGTGCAATAGGTAAACCCAAAGTCATTATAGTGTCGCAAACAGGGAAAGTATGAAAATCTCCAGAATGCTGTCTGAGAAGCACTTGGACATCCAACTGAACATGCTAAAGTCTTATCTGGGACAATATGACAGCTACTGCAGAAGTGCAGGCAAAACCACAATAATTTTAGTGGAAGTGTCTAAAAATCAGTATTGTACATGACAAAAAAAATCACCTCACTATCTCACATAGGCATACAGTTATTAAAAAAAATAACTAGATAAAATTTTAGTAGCAAAGAGAACACATCTGGGAGCTTGAAATGCCATGGAGACACTTGGGATTCTCTTACACCTCTCCTTTCAACAGCAAACTGAGTAGATTAGCACTAATGAAGTCACCAGTGGTATGATCGTGTTCATAGATCCCTTTATGCAATTTGACCAGTAAGTACCATTTTTACTGGAACTTCTAAGTTGCTTCTAAGACATCATCCTTTACTTTTAGGCAGTGTGAATCTGTATACCAAAAGCCAAGGACTTCTTGTGAAACATCAAAAAGCTCAAACAAAATGTTTAAGACATTTAATTTTCAAACCCTTCTACGTTAAATACATTCATTCTATTTCAAAAAAACCTTCCAATCAGAACACAGAAATAACTACTACTTCTGCATTCAAAGAAGGATTCTTGTTAAAAAACACACACAGAAATTCACACTATATTACTGGAACCATCAAGTACCAGAAAGGGTGTATTTTATTACTACTTACCACCGAAGATATTCCATTCACTACTTTAAATGTGTCATAAAAATCATAATTGAAATTGCTTGCCATCCTTGCCAGAATTCAAAAAAAGAAACAGAACTGCAGTCTTATTCACAAGCACCTACTAAATTAGTGATGTAGCTAGATGCAAAATGGAGAAAGTCTTCAAGCAAAAGCAATATATTTCTAACAAATTCCACAAGTCAATTTGAAAAATATTCCAATACAGTGACTTAAAAGATCTATTTAATTAATACAAAAATACATAAACCCAACAAGAGCGTCAACTTCTCAAAGGAATCAGGATAGCAAGAATAAAAAAAAAAAAAAAAAGAGAGAGAGAAATTTAATTACTTAACCCCATACCTGCGCAATCCTAATTCAAGCTGAGCCTCATCACTGATGAGTTCTGCCTCACTCTGGGCAATTCTCATTGCAAGTTCACGATCACGACGTTCCTGTTCAAGCACTGCCTGGTGCTGGGTTTCCTCTTCTCGTTCTCTAGCTAGCTGAGCCTCAATTTCAGCCTGTTTTATGAAAACACAGCTTTAACCTTATCCAGTCAAAGCCAAAATGCTACATAAGCAAATGATTAGAAAAATATGCCAAATTATTTATAGCTTTCAAAACATGCAAAATTTACAGAACTGAAAAAGTAACAGCATTAGTATTTAGTTTGACCCAAGAGAAACAAAACAGCTACAGACTGCAACTTGGTTTTCATATAGTTTATCAAATCATTATTGTCCACCACCTGTATTACCTTCTCAAACCAAAGTGCCAATCAGTTATTCTTTATTTAGAAAAAACACATGATGCTTTTTGCTAGCTATTATGAAAATTAGACTTCAAAAGTTTTTAGAATCATTAAAACTCAGATGAGACAGAGCAATATGGTTACCCCTCCACAGCAGTAACACCCTTGATTTTCTGCACTTGGCATTATAGGCCTTTGCAATAGGCATTGCTTTGCATGTAGGTCCACGGTTCACTTTGAACAAGACAAACACCAGAATCTTCTGTGGACCTGATCTGGCTTTGAATTTAAGCAAATGGTAAAATCCTGACTTACTGCAATGCAGAAGCAATCCAGATATACTGCCTCTGCAGAGCAGAACTGTAATTCCAGTTTACCATCATTATTTAGCAAAGGGTCTTGAACACACATGAAGTAAAACGCGACCATCCATTTCATAGTTCTGAAAGCCATGCATGCCAAGTCTCAGCAGAGCCTTTCTTGGTGCTCCAAAGTCAAAGGAGATACAGTCACTTCCCACTCATCATCTTGAATTTGCACCACTAAAGCAGCGCAGTAACACCAATGACTCTACCCTATGAATCCTGCTTTAGATTAACTGATAGGAACAACCACCAGAAGGAGAGATAATGAGTTATTATCTGTATGCAGAAGAAAGAAATACCCTACTGGATTATGTATCTGCTTTGTATCCAAACTGAGCATTTCTAAGTAAAAGTGTAAATTACATTCTGCATTGCAGATAGCCACATCTCAGAAACAAAGAAACATAAACAAAGATAATCCTTAGAGATGCTCACAGTGCTGGCACACCAAGTTTTTAAACTCTCTAGCAACAGGCCATCTTGTTTCCTCAGTGGATGAAATTTAATCCACTTAAACTGTCCCTGAATGGAAACTTATCCTATGAATTTCTCACAAAACACATCTGCAACGGTCTCCAAGCAATGATTTAGAGACTAGTCAAATAGCAGCTTACTCTTTTTATGTTTAACTTCTGCAAGCTGGTAGTGTTTATTATTCTGATACAAGTGACAGACCCAATAACACAGGAAAGATTCATTTTTCATCAAAGTTAGGCTATAATTTCTCTGCTAGTTCCAGTGACTTGTTTATCAAGAACAAGGGTGATGTGATAGAAAAGAGTACGCAGATGCAAGGAGGATAAGCAGTGCTAGGCTAACTCCACGGATAACAAGATACAGGACAAAAATTCTGCTTCTGATTAATCATGGACAGGGCTTAAAAGAGTTTGCAACCATCAGTGACGATGGCCCTGTGATTGCTACAACTGCCCCTACAGAGAAGCTTTTTCTCTCTAAGACTGCTCTCCCAGGTGACCCAGGCAATCTGCAAGACAAGAACAATACAAGAGTATAGGAGCCAAACCCACCTCAGAGAGAGAGTTCATGATGGGATCAGTAAAAAGTGTCAAGAATCGAGGGGGAGAGGTGGAGGAGCAGGGTTTGAACTGCATGGATGTAGTCAAATGGGCTACTGGAGACAGTCCTGTATCCTCTCATTATTACCAATATTCTGAGTGTTTACAGTTAAGCTGATACATGACACAGCCTGAGTCCAGATGTGACTTCTAGTAAAAGAGTGCCAAACTTACCTGAAATTGAACACCTACTAAAACTTCCAAGGCTAACCTGGGATTCTCCAGTGTTGTGTGTTTTTAACTTTGAAATGACTTTAAAAACCCTTTGAAAACAAATGCATCTTTACTGAGAAGACCTGAACTAGAAATAGGTGACCTGTCTTGGGATGCCATAGTCATGATTTTTGCCTTAGATTTACTACTAAAGCAACACTGCTGAATGACTCCAAGACACGCGTTTATAAAATGAAGCTGTTAGACTCAGTGGACAACCAAAGCTGTGAAGAAGATTAACCAAAAGAAAAACAAAAACCAAAAACCCACAACCACCACCACCCCAAAACCCCCACACAGCTAAAACATTAACCTGAATACGCTTTTCTTCCTCTTCCCTCTTTTTCCTTTCTTCCTCTTCCTGTTTTCTCTTTGCCTCAATTTCAGACTTCCTATGACAAAAGGAGGAGGAGGAAATGAAAACGCATTATTACGATGCAAGTGAACAATGGAAGCATCTTCCATAAAATTGAATGGTAATCCAGAAGTCAGTACAGTCCTGATGACAGGACACTACATGTAAAGGTCAAGAAACTTTCCAAGTCCACCTGTAGTTACAGCTCCATCATATCATTTCTTCCACACTCTATTCTGACTACGCTTACCTTATAAATCACTGGCAAAGGAGACATTTTAAAACTGCATAGCACACGAGAAGTACAATTCAAGTGTCTCTCTTTAAAATTAGGAGTATTAAAAACAACCTCATTAAAGTGCCTTCCTATTTTCTTCTCATTCTATGACCAGCAACTTATTCAAGACTCACAGACGTCTTTCCTCTTCTTCCTTCTTTCGTTTTTGTTCTTCCTCTTCACGTCTCTTTCTTTCTTTTTCCATTTCCTCCTGGATGCGTCGTAGCCTCTCTGCTTCCTCCTCTTGCTGCTTCTTCTTTTGCAGTGCACTCAGAAGCTGCTCTGAGCTTCTAACCAGAGCATCATATTCTTTCTGAATCTGTTCCCTAGTCATTATAGTGGTCTGCAAAACGAAATAGTAAGAGGAGATCATATTCTTTTACATTTGTACTTCACTTTTAAAAATGTGTATTGAAAAAAATATTAAGTGAAATGACAGCATTGAGCAGCATAATTTAATTATATTACACTTCAGTGTGGGAGAGCTTGAGCACATCCTTCCCTTTCTTGCTAAAATCCCGACGATTCATTACTCTCCTATGAAACCATACAACGTAATCTCCTTTTTATCACTGAAATTAAACATGACTTCGTTTTAAAACTGCCTTCATTTTTTTAAACCTTGCAGTTTTAAGCACAGTAAGAATTAATTTCTGTTGCTAAGATGAAAACTAAGGGCCTCCTATGAGCATTTTGTTTTCTTAGCTTCTATACTGGTTATTTACAGCTCTGCCTTTTATGTCATAGCACAGAATAGTTGCTCTTAATATGTGTGCTAGCACTCAGAAAAAGCACTCGACTGTGCTGTGACTAACCTTTTTAAAACAGGTATTTTTGGCAAATAACAGGTTGAAAATAGTTAAAACAATAGCTTTTGCTACATGTTTTCAAACCTCATTGACAGCTACAATTTAATTTCATTTTACAATTCACATTGATGTATACTAAGAAAACTACGATATGTGGTGTTTGCTGACCTTTTCTGAGGGTCTATCATAATGATAATCAAATTATCTTATTTTTATTAGAAAAGAGAACTATAAGTTGATAGGTTAACTCTATCACCTTTTCAACTGTGATTTTAAATAGAAAAATCTTAAAATGTGACACTAAGAAAGCTATAACATTGGATAAAACAAAAATTCAACACATCAAACTTTTTCTAACATTAATAAATGCCCATGTGCTTTCACTTTGTCTGTGTGCTTTTGTGGTAAGAAACTGAGAACTACAGCCCCTAAAGCATTGTCAGCAAGGTGAATTCTCTTTACTACCAAGTCTGAAAAAAATTCCTAACTAGAATATAAATCTCTTCACTCTGTGATAAATGCTTGTATGTTTCAGCCCCGATTTATTTTAAACATTGCTAATATGTATTATTCTAATAATAAAGCGACAAGCAAATTATTATCAACACTTGTCTCACAATATCAACATGCATTTTTGCTTAAAAATCTCCAGTGCCAATTTTGAAACACAGATAATTATACCAAAGTCTAGACATATGCACCCATTTTCAGGATTCACTTAAATTATATTCACAAATGATTTTAAATGTGACTTACCCAGTGCCTCTGAAAATTAAGACCTCTATATTAAAATGTCTTTTCTATTATGCAAAATACATTGGTCTTCTAGTGTAGATTTTTTTAAAAGATTCCAGTAATAAGAAACTATTTCTCTGATTATCATACCTTAATTTTGGTCATTGAAGCATCAATAGAATACTCCAGCTCCTTGACCTGCTTGCTTGTCTCCGCCTTGCCCTCCTTCAGAGCACTTACTACTTCATTAAATTTATCAAGTCTCTTCTTCAGTGTACGCACTTTTATCAGGCCATCAATGCTATGAAGGTAAGAGTTTATTTGTATCATCTTGAGATGTTTTACAAGGTGATTTTTAAAACTACCACTAATCACTCACATTAAAGAGGTAGATAGAGGAGACAACTTATGCCTTCTGATAAAACTCACCCTCTTTTTTTGAAATTCAAACATTATCACATGAAGTAACTAAGCAATGGAACCTTTCCCAAGCAATAATTAAAACTAATTAGCAGATAGTGACTCAAAATGGAAAAATGAATTTTTATTGAGAATTAATGTGGGGTTTGGGGGGGTGGGTGTTGGGGGGTTTTGTTTGTTTGTTTCAGTAACAAATCATTAGTATCCACTAGAGCATTTTGACTGGATTGGATAAAGGTTGAGTCGTGCCACTTCAAGAGCAATAATGGGACTGAATCAGATAAAATTTAACTACACAGCAGGAAACCCAGTCATTAAACTCCACGGGCGGGGGCAAGTCTGGGGAGAAGTTCAGGAAAACTTGAAGCTTTTTAAAGAACCAATACTGAAGGCCACACATGGAAGTTCCATGCTGTGGATACAGTCTTCCTAGAAAGAAATCACTGAACTGGGATTCAGGTAAACAACATACAAAAAGTAGAAACTAAATTAAATCATTAAAGATGAGTACAGAACAGCTTAAAAATATAGGGAGGTGGTCAGAAATGCCAAGGTACAAAATGAAACATAACAATAAAAGGATGTAAGAGAAAACATTTTATAAGAATCCCACTATTAAACAACAGAAAGTTGGATCTCTATCAAAGAATAAAAAGGTGTCCACAGAGCTTAATGACAGAAGTAGTTTTTCTATCAGTATTCCATACAGTCAGATTAAAGCTAATAGAATTACTTAATTTCAAGAGGAGACAAGACGGGCAGAATGTTATTATTTTTAAGATAAAAATGAAAGGGGGCCTATAAAGGAAGGTTTGAATGAGTAAAGGACAAAAATTAATGAGCTTAGATTTCATTTAGAGAGACTTAACTAAGGATTTCTAATAACTAGGCTATTACTGAAGGTTTCATGAACAAAGAACTAAACAAACATCTCTTAGGAAAGGTTCACATTTAGTCAATTCATCCTCAGGAAGGGAGGAGGAACATGACACCTCTCAAAGTCTCCTTCAGCTGTACTTCGCATCATTCTAGGACTTCAGATATATTTAGTTAAGCATAGTAAATCTCCTCTTTACATTCACAAGAAAATATTATTAAAAATCCATTTTCTTCAACTAAGAAATATCCTCTTACCGTGGTTTGTGCTTTCTCTTGCAAAGCCACATACGAACAGTCTTTTGTATTTTAATGCAGGCACTGGCTCGATATTTTATCTTATTTTTCACTGTAAACACACAGAAGATACTGAGTCTCAATAGTTTATACAATTCAACGCAACTCCTATATTAGTCACACACTTGATGGCTTCAAACTATACGTAGACTACGTGCTTCAGAGCTAGGTCTATACAGGAACCACAACACTTAAGACACAGGAAACAAAAGAATTCACAGTCCTGAGCTGGGCATAGAGGATCCCACCCAAAACAAACAGGAAGATTTAAGCGTGTGCACACTCCCTCAGCCTCCAGATTCACTGACATCAGTAACCTCAGTGAAAAGTCACTGGACCTAGCGAGCAGGAAACGCTCAGCTGGAAGTCTAAGTTCTACACTGAAGGGTAAAATCAAATAGCCAACATGTGCTAGACATAATAAAGTGGCTGCAACTTTGTTGAATGTTTCTCTGCAATACTGAAATGAAAGAACACGAAAAAAACCCCTCCAGCTGTTGTTCTTCTAATATAGTCTTCATCTATATGATTGGGACCAGGAGGCAAGTTAAACAGAGAATAATGTCAAGGCACAGGCACAAGCAGGAGTGCTGAGCAGCTCCGAAATGCAAGAATAAATGCAGTTTTTTACGTATCTACGGGAGGAAGCGTAGACACTCAATGATCCATGCTGCCTTTAGTCATCAGCTGAGCACATGGTTTGTGAACACAGTGATATTTAACTACCGGCCTAAGGTGATCACAAAGATGGACTTTACTTTTTGTGTATCTATCTGAGCTTTATTCTGGGGAGAAAGTTAGCCTCTAATCTCCTATAAAACACTGAAAAAAGGAAGGCACATCAAACCAGATTATTTCCCTGGGTTTCTAGTTTTTGGACATGGTGACAGACTTTCTGTCCTATCTTTCTGAAAAATAGACTAAACAGCATAAATTTCTAGGTCAGAAACATGATTTTAGTGTTACAATTTCTGATGTCTGAAACCTGTAAGGTAAGAATTCACAAATTCTGTTTGCCCCAGTATAAACAGCAACAAATAGTTTCCAACCAGTGACCGTTGTAGATGTTACAACTGTGCTGCCCAAAACGCACAGCCATAAGGCATGAGGTCTTCATGCTTTTCTTCCCAATCTTTATGTATACTTTGTACCCTCTGTGTTATAGATCCCTGACATCCTGCATCAGCCCTTTCCCCATCTCCCAGACATCTTTACTGAAGCACCCCACAAGCACCAATCTCCATTCCACACCGCCTCACTCCTACTCTGCACAGTGAACTGGGCAGGCCAAGCACTTACAAACTGCGTATCAATAGCGACAGGCACTTATTTGCTGACCAGCAGTAACTGCTGGAGTGGAGATGTGTGCCCCGTAATTCAAGACAGTGCTTTCAAACACTCAGTTTCTGTCTGGAGATGACAACCTTTGTGCAGGCATTTCCCAGAACTAAACAACTCCATGTTGTCAGCAGAGAGTTGA